CGCATCGCGCGTCGCGTAAACAGCGGGAAAATGGAAAATGGAGCGGAAAATTCGAAGAGCCGCGGCGAGCCACTCGACTTGGTGTCGGAGCCGGCCGGCCGACGCGACGCTCCAGCTGCAAGAGAGCAGGCGCCACCCCAGCGGCCCGCCCCGCCCCCACGCCCCGGTGGGGCAAGGGGCAATCCGGGCCCCTGTCGCGCGCTGAGCCATGACGGCTGCGCGCTGTGCGTGGCCTGCCCGGCCTGCCGGGCTGCGTAGCGCCTGCCGCTGACTCGGGCATTATTTTTCCCACTCGCCCCACTTGTACTTTGAAGCGTTTGGCGGCAAGGGAGTGGCTGCCTGCTGGCGGCGCGTCCGGCGCCCCCTCCACTTCGCGCTTGGCGGCTGTACGGCTCTGGCGCGCACTGCCTCGGCACAGCCCCGGCACAGCCCCACCGGGCGTCTGCTCTGCTATCATTCATGCGGAGTCTGGCCGCGAGAGCGAGAGAGCGCGCTGCGAAATCTTTCCCGATTCATGGCCACTTCGCGCCACTTCACATGCAAATGTCTTTCTCTAGGGCGGGTCCGCTCGCTTTCCTCTTTTCTTTTTTTTTTCGCCCGCAGGGACCTGTTATTATTCGGCACCGAAACGCGCCAAAACCTCCGTCATTTATTTAGCGGCGTGGCCGGCGAGGCCGGAGTGGCCGACAGGTGGACGTGTCTCGAGCGTCCGTCGGCCGTCCGTCGGCCGTGGGTACGGCCTCGGCCGCGACAGTCAGCGTCCAGGCCCCGAACGCGGGGCAGGGCCAAAGCGTTAAAGTCTCCGGGCGGGAGGCGGGCCGCACCAAGGGCCGCACCGCCAACCCGCACACTCCCCTCGCTTCCTCGGTTACCGACTCATAATTCTCGCCATGCAAACGCGCACAACCAAAGCGCTTCATTTTCCCCTCGAATCTTCCCTCCCCCTCCCCCTCGTTCTTTCCATCTTTTTCCCAGGGATGCTTTACGTATTCACGCGCGGTCCTGACGGAAAGTTGGCGCCCCCTACCTCCGCCTGCAGGGCCCCGCCCCGCCCCGCCACGTCGGCCGTGTTGACGAGGAACTTCTCGTGGCGGCGATCCGCGGTGCGATTTGGCGCGGCGACGTGGGCGACGTGGCCGGCATGATGCTGCCGCCGCCCCGTGCCGTCGGGGTCGCGCCGAGGAGGGCGGCACGGCAAGGCAGCCAAGGCACACCGAGGCCCGCACGATTTATCGCCCGAGTTACTCGGCTTGTCACGACGGCGACCCGCAGCCCGGACCCGGGACCGGACCCGGGGCTCCCGCGCGGCGTGCGGTGAGCCCGACAGAGCATCAGCGGTAATCGGGAAGGCCGAAGCCTTGGCCGATGCAGACCATGCTCCGCCACTGCAAACCCTGCCACCGCCACGGCGATGCCCTGGCGGGGCGTGCCGCGCCACTCGGGACTCGCCTGACACTTCCCCTCCCGGACCGTCCCGGACGGCCGGAAGGCGGGCATTGGCCTCGCGGCGCCTGGCGTCCGGATGCACTGCCGAGTGCAGCGCGCAGCCGGGGCCGCGGCCAGGCCGAGAAGGTTGGACTGCAGCCGCCATGCCGCCGCCGCAGTCTCTTGAGTCAAGCCAGCGGGCGCCTGGCGGGTAGGCATCCCGGATGCACGCGTGTCTGCGGGACAGCATCGCTGCACGGCGCTTGCACCCTTAAAGCTTTTAACTCGCCTTTTCCCGCCCAGATTCCGACTGAATAGGACCGCCGAAGCCTAGAAACGTGTTCCCGCATCGGGAACGAACACTGGGCGTGTTCACGCAGAGGCCTGCACTGCACTGAAAAGAATGGAGATCTCTATCCGAGAGCAGTGAGGATCGGGGCTCTCGGAAGAGTTGACAGCATTCCATCAATTGCAAAATCCCGGAATAAGAACTTATTTTTTTCCGGGTGCACACTGCACTGATTTAGTCGCTGCGCAGCTTGGCAGCAAGTATGGCGGAGCCCTCGACCGGTGGCCTAGAAGACGGGTGGAGGCGGCCAAAACGCTAGACGCGTTTTGAGCTCCACAGTCACTAAACAGGACTCGCATCGAACTGTGACCCCGTCAATGGATTCATCATTCCGAGAGCAATCCATTGGTGGGGTCACGCGTTCGGTTCGAGTCCCATTTAGCGATTCTGGAACTCAAAACGGGACTAGCGTTTTGGCCGCCTCCACCCGTCTTCTGGCCCACTGCGCGGCGCTGCGACGGTGTTGTCGTCGTGTTGACGTCGTGTCCGCGTCGGCGACGGCCATGTACCTGGATGACAACCAGCGTCCGGCGGCGGTGGACGTCGTCGGGGAGCTCGGCCCGCGGCGGCAGGCGGCACCAGTGGCGCCACGTGCAGAGCACGTGCACGACGAGCACGACGAGCACCTGGCTGGGCGGCGGGGATGGCAACGGCTGGGTCCGCGACGTCCTCCCTTCTGCGTCGAGGACACGCTCGCACTCGTCCGCCTCGGCTCGGCTCGCCGCACGCCTCGGCTCGACTCGGCTCGGCTCGGCTCGGCCTGCGCGATGTGCAGCACGCGGGCGCGCTGGCGCGGCGAGGGGCACTCGGGGGGTGTGCACCGGACCAGCGCTCGCGAGCGACTGCGGGAGGGCGCTGGCGCGGCGGCGCGGCGAGCCAGCAGGGCCACCAGCACCGTGGGCCGTGGGGCTGCAGAACCCAGCGGCGGCCGCGGGGCGCAGCCAGCGCCACCCAGTGGGGCCGCGGGGCCGCGGGGGCGTGGACGCGGTGGACGCGCCTGGCAGAGGACCAGGACGCGTCATCCTGAACCCACGGCACGCCCGTGCCAAGCACGCCCGTGCCAAGCACGCCCCGCGGAACTCGCCGGAACGCCACGGAACGCCACGGAACGCCACGGCACGCCCCACAAGTCTGGCACGCCGCGCCGCACCGCGCTCTTTTATATCCCAGACTAATGGCAATTAAATCGAGACAGATGTTCGGCCGACTCACAAACCTGTCCCGCGCCGCTGGAGGCTGGAGGGGGACGGGCCGAGCGGCCGCTCCAGGACTCCAGGAGGCGGCCAGGACGCGAAGGCCGCGGCGTGGAACGGAGGGGCAGGGAGGGGAAAGAGGCGGGGAAGGAGGAGGAGAGGGAGGGTGAGAGAGGGGAAGGGAGGGGGAAGGAGGGGACGCGCTGCAAACGTCATGTGTCTCGCAGGCAATTAATTTGGTGGGTGTCCGTCGAGGCGCTCCGTCAACAAGGGAGCCGCACCACTACGCCACACGACGGCATGCCGGCGGCATGGCCACGTCTCCAGTCGTGCTTCCCGGAACGGAGCGGGGCGGGACGGAACGCCGGACGGGGCGGCCGCGAGGGACGCCGGAGATTCGGAGCGGGAACAGCAGACTGATTCCGAGAGTCGTTTTCGCGGCTCCGTCTCTCTCGCACTGGTAGGGCGTCCCGTATGGGTGCGAGAGAAACAGAGCGACGGACACGACTCTCGGAATCAGTCTGCAGAGAGAGGAGAACGAGAGGACGAGATGAAATGTGCAGAAACTCAAAATGGCGTGCGCTTGACGTGACGCATTCATTAGTGATGGCCGCATGTTGTAACGATGCATTAGTAGTGGGGAATTGCGTGTTCGGAGCTAATGCAGTTGAAGCAAATGCACTCCGACGTCGCTGTCTTTCCGGTGAGGATGACTGGCGTGTTGTCGCGGCTCCACGGCCGGCCCGCCGTTCGCGGCTTTGGAATGCGCCTCTAGTGTGGTGGAAGTGGACAGTCGTCCTGTTGCTGTGCGATGCCTCCGCCGTCCGCATTCGATGCCAGTGACCCACATCGCCGAGCCCCGCAGCGCGGCAGCATGCGGCAGCCCCGCCGCCGCCAGGGCGTTGCCTTGCATCTTGAGGCCCGCAGGTGCACTGGCACGGCCAGGCGCGGCCAGGCGCGGCACGACGGCCGACTACGAATCGGCCCATGCCGGCAAATGCGGAATTTGAAACGGTTCCGCACACTGTTGGCCACACTGTCGCTTGGGCGCGCCGTGCACAGTGCCGCGGTACCCTGGGCGCTGTGCTGCGCTGCGGGTGGCCCGCCCCGCTCCGTGGCAGGCCCTGCCCTGGCCCTGCCAGCCGTGAGGCCCGTGGGTTGGCGGGCGGACGGGGATCACCACGCCCCCCGGTGCCCCTGCGCAGGCGCCCAGCGCCCCCCACCCGCACCGCGGCCCCTGCCCCCGGGCCCCCGCCTTGCCTGCCCCCTTGCGGCCCCGGCCAAGCGTCGGCCAGGCCCGGCCAGGCCCCGGCCCCCCACAACATCTTACAAGCTGCCCCACTCGGCTCCCCAAACGGCGGCGGAGTCTTCAACCCCGCCCCCACCGTGGGGGGTCCGTGCGGGCGCGGGATGGCGGGGCCGGCGCGGACCGGGTAGGGTACCGCCACTGTCAGTCGCCACACTTGGCAGGGCGGCCGGCCGCGGCCCTCGCCGTCACTGACCTGCCCTCGCCGCCCTCGGTCCAGGCACCGCCAGGCACCTGCAGCGGCGCGTCGCCCGCCGATTCCTCGCATATTGGACCGGGCATGTCGCCCTTGGGGCCCGAAGGGACACGGCTGCCAGGCCACTGCCGCCAACTTGCGAACCACGAACCCCAACACGCGCTTTCAACCCCAACTCCCAACTGGATCCGCGTTCCTCCGCCCCGCGGCGCCGCCGGCTGCCCCGCCACTTACTTAGTCGTCGCGTCGCGTGCCCCGCCGTGATTCCGAGGAATCGATCAGATGAATAGTCATGTGTCCTGTCGGTCTGTCCCGGCGGGTAGCCTCGGGCTGCCTCGAGCACGCCTCGGGCCCCAGTCTGTCGGCCACCAATCAATTCCCAGCGACCGGCCAACCGGCCAACCGGCCGGCCGGGCCATTTCCGATGACGAGTTTCGTCACGCTGATTTATTTATTTATTCCGCGCGCTTGCCTGTGCGCGGGGAGAGCGCGCCAACCGTCGGCGGACTCTTCCGACTTTGAAGTACCTACCTTTCTTCCCCTTACAGGTGAACCGCATTCAAATCCATTGGCGCTGCCGCGCCGCCGCGGCCTTCCGGGCAAAGCCGCGTATGAGCCGCGCTAAAGCTGTGCAAAGTCGAGGCAGCAGGGCGTAGGGCCGGGCCGCGGTGCAGGGCTTGAGGCGCCCTCCGGCCTCGAGGTGATGGCAGCTCGGCTCCCCTCGACCCCCGGGCGGCGGGCAGCGGCCCTCCTGGAGTCCTGGAGCAGCTTCCAGGCGCTTCCGGAGTTGCAGGACCTCCTCACTCCCCGCGGCCGGATGGCCGGGTGGCCGGCCTGGAACATATTTCACGTGCTTTTGGCAAGCGTTTGAAATGCGATAAAGCGCGCGTGCTGCCTGCCGAGGACCTCGCCCCCCTCCCCCTCCCCCTCCCCCTCCCACAGCCTCTCACTATTGGCTGCTATTCCATTTGGCCTTGTATCGGGTGTCGAAGCGGCGCCGCTCCAGGAAGAGAAAGAAAAACAGATTCCGCGTTTCTTCGCAGCAGCACCTCAAGTTTCTGAAGCGGACTAACGGCGAATATATTTCATCCTTTTCGCTGCACGGATTGCGCCTGTCTTGCAGCGCGCCCCGCCATGGCGGCGCCAGCCCCACCTGATCCGGGAGCAGGTCCTCTGCAGGGGCAGGGCCGGTCGGGCCCGGCAGGGTGGCCCCCTTAACAAGCAGTCGCCGCTCGGCCGCGCGCCCGGCGGTTCAAATCCCGGCGGAGTTTTTCCACAGCTGGGGCTTTACACAGTGGAGGGCCGAGGAGGCCCGGCCAAGGCCCGCCGAGGGGCCGAAACCGAAGGGAACAGTCTCAGAAAGCTCTTTGCGGCACGTGCGCAAATCGCGTCCATATGGAATGAGGCGGGGCGGGGCGGGCGGTGGAACGGGCATAACTCGCGCGCTCCAATATCTATATTTCCTCGAGTGCAACTCCCCGCCGGTCCCGGCCGGTCCCTCCTGGCCTGCAAACGCGTATATTTCGCTAAGTGAGATTCACACGTTGAACGCACGTGCGACTCAACGCCGCGCCGCCTGGCCTGGCCGCTCCCTCCGCGAGTCTGCGCGCCGATTCTCCTTTCTTTCTTTTTTATTGCGATTGCAGCCGCGTCCCTTGCATTCCTCTCGGCGATGCGTGCCCGCCCCGCCCCGCCCCGCCTCACCCCGCCCCGCCCCGCCCCGCCACGCAGCGCCCCGCGCCTTCCGGCCGGCAGGGAAAATCAATCGCCCTCCGTAATGGTACCGCTCTATCCCGCGACCGCGAGGCCGCGCGCCCGCGAGTCCCCGGCTGCAGGCTGATTCCTCCAGTGCGTTCGTCGGCGCTGTCTCCCTCGCACTCGTGGGGCGTGTGGCGGGGGTGCGAGAGAGACCGAGCGATGTCATTCGGCATCGGCCCGCCGGTTGGCCAATGAGCCGCCCCACTCGTCCCGACACCTTGGCGTAAATTAACAATGAGGACGGCGCAGGGCCGCCGGCCGAACGGCGCCGAACGGCCAGACGGGCATCTCTCTCCATTGGCGGCGTCCTGGCCTCCCTGGCCCGGCGTGGCGCGGCGTTACGTGGCGTGGCGTGACGTCCTGGGGGAGCGGCGGCGGCAGCGCCCGGCCGGCCCACGGTCCCACCCAACAAACTACTACAATAGACGACTGCAAGTGTTTGACTTGTGCTGGAAAGCCGTAAATAAGCGCAGGACAAGTGCCCGGGGCCGGCCGGCGGAGGGGAGGGGAGGGGAGGGGGAGGGTCAGTGCGGGCAGCGGGCCCCGCGGGGGTGGCAAGCAGGGCACGCAGGGCAAACAGGGCAAGGAGCAGCGAGGGCGCGTTTAACTGGGATTTATTGGGCCCCTCGAACGGCGCGGGGTCCCCGGTGGCCCCCGGTGGACGCGCGGGGCCGGGGGCGCGGGGCCGCGGGGCCCAGGCCCGGGGGCGTGACACTGTGACACATGTCGCGCATCATCCGACGACTCAGATGACAACGTCGCTCCAGATCAGTCCGAGCGGCGGAGCGGCGCGCTGCCGGGCCGGCGAAGGGGTGGGGGCGGGGGGAGCGCGGCGCACTGGCTTGACCTCTTCGGCGCGCGTTCCCGCGGGACAAGGGACCCAGGGACCATGGCGGGGAGGGAAGCGGGGAATCGGCCAGAGCAGGGGACTGAGAAGTGAAGGAGTTGTTCCGACCCGACCTCTGGACTTTAACGAAGATTGTGCCATTTTTCTCCGCTGCCGCCGCCGCCGGGTGCCGCTCTGTGAGTGACACGTCGCAGGCTGCCCCAGGGCTGCCCTCTCCTAGGGCCCCACGCCTCAGGCCTAGGGCCACACGAAACCTTGCCGCGTCGTGATGATGTTACCGTGCAGTGGATTAAAACGAGACCGTCATCAAGGACGCGCCTGGACGCGCCCCTGCCTGTCTGTCCACAGCCCGTGCGCGCCGTACGGCCGTCTGGCCGACCAGTCGGGGCTGGCAGGGCTGGCAGTCGGGTCCAGTTATTGGCCCATCAGCGGCAAGATGGACGGCGCGGCGGGGCAGGCACACTGGGCAGGCGGGGCTGGCGGCCCCGAGCAAGGTGTCGAGGCGGCTCGGCTGGGGCTGGGGGGTCTTGGCAGCGAATCCGTGCGGCGAGGCGCGGCGCTGCCTTTAGAGGTTCCGCAGGCCAGCGTGCGCCCCGCCCCGCCCCGCCACACCACGCCGCACCACACCACCACACCCTGCCACGCCATGCCACGCCACGCCCCGCCCGTCATAAAGATACTTTTCTTCCACTCTGGAGGAGGTCGTTGAGTTATGGCCGCCCCCAGCAGGTCCTCGTGGTCCTGGTGGTGCTCGTCTCGGGGACGCCGTCTTGGCGGGGCCCGGCAGGCCCGGCGGGGGGCACTAATATCCTGGCACCGGCCACTGGGCGACGAGGACGCTCTCGGTGGCGAGGCGGGCGAGGCGGGCGAGGCCGCAAGGCAGCGAGGCGCAGGCTGTGCGCGTCGAGCTGCGTGGCGGGGGCCACGTCGCGGCTTGAGATGCAGCGCGGCGCGCGGCGCGCCATCCGCGGGGCGTCGGAGGCATCTGTTGCTGACTGATGAACCGGCCGGCCTGCCCTGCCTTGCCTGCCGCGCACTAGCGCAACCTGCGCAGCGCGGCCGAGGCGGCGCGTGCGGACACGTCCCGGCGTATTGGCGTTTCGCTTCGTTCTGCACCGGCAGGCCCTCGGGCAGGCCCGGCGACTCCACCGTCCCTGTCGCACCACCACGCGACGCCCCGCGAGTGCGAGAGAGACGGCGACGCAGCCGCGGTTCGGAATCGGCCGGCCGGGCGCCGGATGGCACACCAAGTCGCACGCCAAGGCGCACACCAAGTCCGCCCCGAGCACGCCCGGAGCCTCCCAGAGTGCGCGGCGCTGCGCGGGCGGTTTGCCGTGCACATTTGTCAAAGCGCGCCTCCGCCTTGTGCCCCGGATAGAGACGTGCGAGTGGTCCCAAATCGGGACATCCGTTTTGGACACCGAAATGTTCGAGAATTTCGAAACAGCCAAGTTTGATACCGTGTTTATTGAAAGATAAGAAAGTCTACTTGAAGGCGAACATTTTTTGCCTGATTTGATTCAGTTGTGCAAGATTTTAACGATTCGACTCGATTTGGACCGAAAATCCTTGATTCGCACATCCCGCCGCAGAGAAAACTAAGCGAGGCACTCTGATGGCCGCGTGTCGAAGAACAGCGGCCGAAAAAGAGGAAAATATCGGAGAGACACTTCGAAGTCCGCAAAATGAAATCTCTTTTTCTCATCCCGAGAAAGGTTTAAGGTGGCCCGGACGGCTCCCTTGACAGCAGCCCAGGCCATGCCCAGGCCATGGCCGCCATGGACCTGCCGAGTATTGGCTGGTATTGGCCTGGCCGCCCTGCTGCACCGGGCGGGCCTTAGGCGGGCCGCGCCGGCAGTCCCCGGACAGGACAGGCAATCAAGGAGATGCCCTCTGCTAGTGGCCACCTCGGCCAGGCCTCTGCCAGCAGGCTCATTCCGAGAGTCGTGTTCGTCGCTCCGTCTCTCTCGCGCCTACACGGGACGCCCCATGAGTGCGAGAGGGACAGCGACAGTCCGCAAGCCCTCGCCGCCCTCCGCCAGGCCTTACAGGCCGGTATCGACGTTTTTACGCGACATCCGATGGACAACGCCACCCAATTGCCAAAGGGCCCCACGACGTCTTTGTGACGTCACCGTGACGGCCCCGGGACGTCCGCCGGCGGTGGCGGCCCGGCGCGCAATTGAATGAGGCGGCGGTCTGCTCGGCGAGCTCCTCGAGGCCCTGCAGCATGCCTGCAGGCTGACTCTGAGAGTCACTTTCGTCACTGTCTCTCTCGCACCTGTACGGGACGCCCCATGAGTGCGAGAGAGACAGCGGCGGAAACGACTCACAGTCTGCTGGGCTTGCCGCCTCGCCGCGAGGTGGATGACCGACTGGATTATGACGGCGTGGCGTGGCGTGGCCAGGCACGGTGGGTGCTGGCGGCAGGGTGGATTACGAGGCTGTCGCCGGCACCCGGCACTAGCCAGGCACTTGCCCGGCACTTGCCCCGAGCCTCCTTTCATATAAGAGGGGAGGGGCCTAGCGCCGCCTAGCACGGCCTCGAATGAGGTTATCTGTCATTTGAACCCTCAATCTGGCCGGACACACGCGGCGCGGCGTGGCGCGGCGCCCCCACTGGCCAAGGGCGCCAAGCCGGAGGGGCGGCAAGGGCCATGCACCGCGGAGGTCTTAAATTCAGCCGCCCTTCGCGTCCTCTGCCTCGGCCGTGCCTTGGTGGCCGTGGTGGCCGTGGCCCTGCCAAGGGCTGATTACCCTCAGCCCTTTCTTCCCCTCTGCCCTTTGGTGAGACCCCTCAAGCCTCTCGCCCTTTGACTGTCGTCGTTTTTTAGCATCACTCGTTCCTACTATCCAACAATATGTTACCCGTTATTTGAAAATGGCTTTCTTTATGGGAATATAAGGAACTCCAACGCAACAAGCACCACTAGGCCGCTTCAGCCTTCGACTTCATTTTCGGTTCGGCCCTACGATTTGCCCATGAGAGTGGAAAGCAAGCGGCACTGAAATCCCTGCCGGTGTCGCTCTGCAGACTGATTCCGAGAGTCGTTCTGGTTGCTGTCTCTCTCGCACCCACACAGGACGCCCCATGAGTGCGAGAGGGACAGAGCAAAGAAAACGACTCTCGGAATCAGTCTGCTGTTTCTCTCGCACTTTTGCGAAGAGCCCCATGAGTGCGACAGAGATAGAGCGACGAAACGCCTCTTCCGAATGGCTCGCGGAATTCTAGGTTAGAATGCCTTCGACCAATACAACCGTCACATACCTGTCTCATAAGTAGATGAGTTGAGAACACCCAGAGACTGAAGATCATCATCATCATCACCAGCAGCAGCCGTAGCAGCAGCAGAACATCAGCATCGCTGTTGGGCCTGGGCAAACAAAAGATCACTTATCATCATCCAATCGCCGGTCCGCGGTGAGGATCCCAGCGGCTACGTAGAAGCCTAAATACTTGACGTATACACAAATTAACAGTCCAGAGGCATCTTGCCTGTTCCTTTTCCTGTTTGATCCATGATTCAAATGCGAGTGAGGAAGACTCTAGTACAAAAGTTCTTTGAAAGAAAAGTGCTAGCGCGAACGGGCAACGCGCGCCAAAACTAACCAACAAAACAAAGAACAATCGCGCTACAGTAAAGCCAACCTTGTCAATACTCACAAGTGCCAACTGCAAAACATAAAATATCATCGTGACCGTGCCAACTTATGAAGCAGGCTGACTGAGTGCGCAAACGGCCGATAATTTGTCATCCCCGCGCGAAATGTAAAGCACCCCGCGGACGGCGGTGAAACTTGAATAAAAGTTTGAAGTGGCTGACGCCAGGTTGAGGCGATGGCGATGTTCGAGACATCGTCTTGGAGCCGCCGTCTTCTCTCTCCCCTCTGCGAATAGAGTGAACACTCTCCCTCCTTGTCCTTGTTGACGATGCGGAGCGGCCTTGTTTCATGCCCCGGACGTGATTTCAATATTCCGATCTCCGCGGAGGCACGGCAGGCGAGGCCAGGCGAGCGGCGAGAGCCGGACTCTGATATCGGCGCGCAGGCTGCGCAGGCTGTGCCGCTGGCTGCCTGGCTGCCTGGCCGCCTGTCGCCGTGTCGATACGTGTGGCAGAAGGTGGCGCACTTTGCAGGCACGTGGACGACGGCGCCGAGACAGCAGCAGGCTCATTCCGAACGGACCTCTCGTCGCTCCGTCTCGCTCGCACTCACGGGGCGCCCCGCGCACTGCGCGAGAGAGAGGCGGGCCGACGACCCGGCGTGCGGAATCAGTCTGCAGAACAGCTGCTGCAAAGGCTGCCGCTCGCGAGGCGCGAAGCAGCGCGAAGCAGCGTGACAGCTCCACGGAGTGTCGAACGCAGCTGCCAGCCCTGCCGGCGCGTCGCCAGCTGGGAGACCAAAATAGGAATCGCGACGCGCACTGTAAAAGCAAAAGAAAATCATTTTGCCACATCTTAAGGTTTACAATAAGCAAGAAGAAACGTTTATTAATCAACAAGCATTGTTTTACCGTGTGAGGACACGGGATTATGTCGTGCATTTTCGAGTTCGGGACGGAGAACACCAAGGCTCTGCTGCTGCTCGCGCGACTAGCGCTGTCAGTATGGAGGTCGCGCCAAGTGGCGGAAGTATGAACTAACTCGAGCCGCGCTGCTGCGCTCCGCGTCGACCTCGCCTCGCGGCCTCGGCCTTGCTCACCCCCACGCCACTGCACGCCACGCCACTGCACGCCACGCCTGCGCCTCGTTTGTCTCGCGTCAACAACAACACCCCGCCAAACTTGCCCCGCATGCTCTTGTTGTTGTTGAGTCGGACAAATGAGGGCACGTCGACACGCGTGGCTGCGGGGTCTGCGAGGCCGCCCTCCAGCTCCACATGCCGAGACACTGTCGCGGAAACAGTCGCGAGGGGGAACGACCTGGAAAAACACGGCGATGTTGTTTTTGGTTTTGTTGTTTGTTGTTGTTAAGCGGTGCTAATCGGCGTGGCCACTTCGGCGTTATCTGAGACATTCCGTCGCCGTGCCGAGTCGCGCCGCGCCGCCGCGCTGCGCTGCAGGCCTTTGGGGCCTTCGGGCCTTCGGGCCTTCGGGGCCTTCGGGCCTTCGGGGCCTTCGGGCCTTCGGGGCCTTCGGGCCTTCGGGGCCTTCGGGCCTTCGGGGCCTTCGGGCCTTCGGGGCCTTCGGGCCTTCGGGGCCTTCGGGCCTTCGGGGCCTTCGGGCCTTCGGGGCCTTCGGGCCTTCGGGGCCTTCGGGCCTTCGGGGCCTTCGGGCCTTCGGGGCCTTCGGGCCTTCGGGGCCTTCTGGGCCTTCGGGCCTTCGGGGCCTTCGGGCCTTCGGACCTTCGGGGCCTTCGGGCCTTCGGGGCCTTCGGGCCTTCGGGGCCTTCGGGCCTTCGGGGCCTTCGGGCCTTCGGGGCCTTCGGGGCCTTCGGGCCTTCGGGGCCTTCGGGCCTTCGGGCCTTCGGGGCCTTCGGGCCTTCGGGGCCTTCGGGGCCTTCGGGCCTTCGGGGCCTTCGGGCCTTCGGGGCCTTCGGGCCTTCGGGGCCTTCGGGCCTTCGGGCCTTCGGGGCCTTCGGGCCTTCGGGGCCTTCGGGCCTTCGGGGCCTTCGGGCCTTCGGGGCCTTCGGGCCTTCGGGGCCTTCGGGCCTTCGGGGCCTTCGGGCCTTCGGGGCCTTCGGGCCTTCGGGCCCTTCGGGCCTTCGGGCCCTTCGGGCCTTCGGGCCTTCGGCTTCGAGCCTGCTCTACAAACTCAAGTGTGTACATTGTACACTCCACCTGGAGTGTACACGCATGTACACTTCAACCTGGAGTGTACATGCATGTACACTTCACCCTGGAGTGTACTTGGCATGTACACTCCAGGTTGGCGTGCCAGGTGGCTCATACCAGCAGCAGGGAGCCATCAACAGTGTACCTGAAGGTACACGCCAACCTGAAGTGTACATGCCAAGTACACTCCAGGTTGAAGTGTACATGCATGTACACTCCAGGTGGAGTGTACATGCATGTACACTCCAGGTGGAGTGTACTATGTACACACTTGAGTTTGTAGAGTGCTGGCTGAATCCGAACAACACTGCTCACTGGTTTCGTCGCTCTGTCTCTCTCGTCCTCCCACGGGGCGGGGCTCTCCGTTGGGGTGCAAGAGAGACCGAGCGGTGTTGAGCCTGGCGGCTTGGCCGAGCCCCCCGCGGACTTGGCACGTCTCGCAAGCCGCACATTACTCGAAAGCGTGACGGGTGAAATTCGGCGCAGCGCGACGGCGACACGGCGTGCTTTCTACTGCCTCCCTCGCCGCCCCGCTGCCGGGCCCCGCTGCTGGAGACTGATTCCGAGAGTCCCTATCGTCGCTCTGTCCGGCTCGCACTCATGTGGCGTCCTGCAAGGGTGTGAGAGAGACAGAGCGACGAAGACGACCCCTCGCATTCAGTCTGTTGGGGCTCCACAGCCCGCCCCGCGCCGCGCAGGCACGAGGCACACGTTATGCACGCACGACGTGCAAAGCCGGCCGGGCCCGAAGCGGGGAAACGTCGCGGCGGCAACAAACTGCGCGAAAAGGCAAGCCAAAAGGTGAGGAGAGTCGTCGCCGAATTACGGAGAAAGCCCCGACAGCGCCGACGAGGACACGGAGGCACTCACCGCGCCGTGCCGCCTCCGGCCTCCAGCCGCCTCGCCCTCGACCTCATGCATGCTCGTCTCGAGGTGCCGGAGTGCTTCCCGAGTGTGCCCCGTCGCCCCGTCCCGCTACCGGTGGCGGGGCGGCCCGGGGGGCCCACGGGTGGCCCGGAGTCGAGCAGTCGAGCCGAGGGCACTTGTGCGCCGTCCTCTCCTCTGCAGCGCCAGAGTCCTTGAGCGCGCCCCGCCCCGCCCCGCCGCCCCGCCACCCTGCTCACACGCGTGCACACGTCCGCCACCGCCGTCGTGGCGGTTATGAAAAGGACGTCAAGGCGGTCGGGAATTAACGCCGGCATTGCGGCGCACCAAGGCGGGGCGGGGCGGGGCGGGGGCCGCGAGGCGTACCATCGCGATGATGAATTGATACACGTCGCCGCCGAGGCGCGGGCAGGCCGACAAACGTGAAAAAGCGCGCCGTCAAAAGGTTTGGAGTGCTCTTTATGTTCCGCCAAGCCGACAGCAACTGCTGTTGCCCCCGCCCCGCCCCGCCCCGTCCCGCCCCGCCCCGCCCCGCCCCGCCCCGCCCCGCCCCGCCACGGCCCCCCGAATGTGGGGCCTGCCTGCCGCGCCCCTCCGGGCTGCTCCAGGCTGCTCCGGGCGGAGACGTGACTAAAGGTCCCCATCGCGTCGGCGGCAAGGCGCGGCGAGGCGCGGCAAGAGAGATGTGTAAATCCCGCGCCTGCCGCTGGCGTCCCGCTGGCGTCCCGCTGGCGTGCAAGCGTGGCCTCTCATTGTAACAATCGCGGGACAAATGACGGACATCCGGCAGTATAACGCGGCGTGTTTGCTGCCGCCCCGGCACTCCGCCGTGCTGCTGCTGCAGCCTGATTCCGAGAGTCGCTTTCGTCGCTCTGTCTCTCTCGCACTCATGGGGCGTCCCGCAAAGGTGCGGAGCGAGACAGAGCGACTCGAACGACTCTCGGAATCAGGCTGCGGCACTGCTCCGCGTTCTAACGCGCGGTCACGGCATTTCGAGAGTCGTTTTCGTCGCCGTCTCTCTCGCACGTATGAGAAACGACCCTCAGAATCAGAGAATGAGTCTGCAGCTGCTGGCGAACGCCTGCGGGGCGGGCCGGCCCGCCACACTCTCGTGTCGGCGTGCTGCCTACCCCGGGGCCCGCGGGCGCCGAGCCGGGCACGCTGTCTCTGTCGCACTCGCAGGCCGACCCTAGGGCCTCCAGGGAGAGCGAGCAAGACAGAGCGTCGCGACGCAACGCAGCCGGCTGGCCGGGCCGGGCCGGGCCGCAATAATTGAAACTCCTCTGGAACTCGTTTGAATGATGGGCTGCCCTCTCGCCACACCTGCGCACGCTGCGCGAAGCACCGCGATGGAGGCTCGAGGCACGGCACGGCACGGCAAGGCACGGCACGGCAAGGCAAGGCATGGCACGGCGCAACACGGCGCGGCACGGCTGAACGGATATCGCCATCGCCTCCCTTGCTCGGAGCTTCGCTAGCGGGATGGCGGGATGCATTTGGCTCCTCAGAACTTGCTTTATTTCTCCCCGGGGACGCCTTAACCTTCTGGCCGAGGCCCCTCGCGCCCCTCAAGCTGGACCAAGTGGTGTTCCAGGAACACAACAGCCTACACTCGTATTGGAGCATGCTTGCAAGCACACTGCAGATTGTAGTGAACTGCCAGGCACACAACAAATTGCAGTGTACTTGCCAGGCACACAACAAATTTAAGTTTGAATGCCAGATGCCAGTGTATACTGTATAAAGTTCACGCCCTTTGTCGTGAGATGACTAAAAATTCGTCTTGCAGAGGCGAATAAAGTGATCTTGGGCTGGAGAAATGCTCTTAGGAGAAAAACAACCCAAATTTTGGCTTCACGTGTCACGCCAGCTGTCAGGACACAAATATCACATTTTGAAAAAAAAATTGTAAAAAAAACAGTTTTGTTTTGCTTTTTTTGCAGTAAGGTTATCCCATTGGTTTTGTGATCCCATTACCCGAAACCGAATCCATAAGCTTTGGTTAGGCCTCGTCGCAACACCGGAGGCTCCATTCCATCCCGCCCTGCCCCGCGCGCCTTCCCGCCCCGCCCCGCCCCGCCCCGCCGTGCCACGACCTTTGCGGCCACGCCTGAGGCTCCTTCAATATTTAATGCAGATGAAAGTTTGTAAAGTTTGCCGAAGAAATGAAGCGATGTCGTCCCGGGGGAACGGTCGGGTGGGACTGGCGGCAAAGGTACGCATACCGCGCGGGGCACGCGGTAACGTGGTGGGGGCGCTCCCCCCTTCCCTCCCTCCCCCCTCCCTCCTTCCCTCTCTGCCGTTCTTTATCT